GTTAAGACATGATTGCAAAGATCAGGCAATTATTTTTTAGATGATTTGGTGACTGTCCTCCAGAGTGGTTTCTATTCTAGCTCGACTCTCACAAACTCCCAGTTTTGATGGTATCATCAGACTAGAAGTCATTTTCATTGTAGTTCTTAGGATAAGAGCCAAGTCATCTAAAAATTGTATTACACATTAAACTGTTGACAACAGGCTGGGTGTGGTGATACAGGCCTGTAATTTCAGTACTTGGGAGGCTGACACAGATCACTACTGCATTCAAGGCCAGCCTGGACACAGCAAGGCCTTGTCTCAAAAAAAAGACAAGTCTCCCTTGGGAAGTGATAGAAAGGGAAACATTCACATTTTAACAGTTTTATATTTGATTATTTTTACAATTAAAATATAAATAAGTTTAAAAAACAAACATAGGAGCCAGGTGCAGCAGTCCAGGTTTGTTAATTTCAGCTACTCAAGAGGCTGAAGCAGAAGGATCACCAGTTTGAGTACAGTATGGGCAACGTAGCAAGACCATCTCAAAATAAAGGTGTAACTCAGTGGTGAGGACCACGGGCTCAACCCCCAGTACCACAAAACAAAAAGCAAATATAGGAATCCCATCAAATATATTTATAAATGTAAATGGACAGCTAGGGATTATTTTATGCCACCTAGGACGGAATTTTGAGTTCTGAAGAGCCTATTTCACATCGTTTCTGCAGCTTATAATTTATACAATAGAAGGCCAGAAGAATTAAAAAGGATAGGCTCCACACCCCACAAATGGATAATTATATGGAAATTATTTATTGCTTTAAAAATCAGTATTTCAAAAAGCTTTCAACTGTTATTTAAAAAAAAAAAAACAAAAACCTAAAAGGATGGTCAGAGAGCTAACTAAATCACATTTCTTCCCCAAGCAAGTACTGTATTAACCAGAGACCAGGAGAGAAGCTGCCAACGACTGGACAAAACCATCAACAACTTGATGAGTCCATGGGGATTAAGAATATTTCTCTATATAGATACATGTTCTTATCCAGGAAACAGTCTGAGTAAAAAGTGAAAGGACTAGTGTCCAAGACAGACTAGGATTTATTATGAGGAACAAAGACATCTTTGTTAGCTAGAAATGGGATCATCTAGTAAACTAGTCAGTGTAGTTACAATTTTACAGGTCCAGCCAGCGTTAACTCAACCACATCCAAAAGTGGAATCTGGACTTGACTTTTCTATAACCCGTTTGCATAATTAAGTCTCTTTAAATTCTATGCTTGAGACAAACACCACTCCAAACATTTTATACTTTTTGGTATTCTACTAAGAATGGTGAGAAATATAAAAAAGATCTAGGGAAAGCAGAAATGAAAACACTGTGAATTTAAAAATAAGATTATTTGCTAATAGTGATGGGGTTTAAAAAGCAATGACAATTGTTGAGACCTCCATAAATCATTTCCATACCCATTAGTTTATTAACCACCTTTTTAGCCAGTCTCATTCTTGTGTCACAGATGAGCAGTTGAATCCTACCAATTTCCCCAATACTATTTTCTTACCTCCATGTTCTTTAGGTCAAAGAGGGCCAATAAAAATGCTGCCAATCAGCAAGGCTAGACCCATCTTTGATAAATTCATTCATACACACGATAGGGTGCCTTATCTGAATGTTTGCCTCTCCAAAATTCATGTTGAAGTCCTAACATGATGGCATCAAGTTGGGACCTTTGGGAAGGATAGAATTAGTGCCTTTATGAGGCCCCAAGGGGCGAGCGGGGGAAGGCAATGAATGGAGGGAATGGATATGAGCTGTATGTTATGTGCAGGAAAAAAATGCATGAACCACAGTATTTTGTAAAAAAATGTAAATATGGAGAGACACACAGACCAGGGCCTTTTTATTGAGACACACACTATATATCCATATACATTATATCCTATATAAAGATATACCCCACACTATTGTATCCCCATATCATATATATCCCAATTATATCTTTTATTGATATACAGTGGTACTTAAGTTCATGAACTTAATTCTTCCATGATTCTGGTTGCAAACCGTGATTGTCAAGTCCAACAAGAACTGGATCAAATTCAATGTTTAGGCTTACTGTCGACTTTAAGGAGAACTATGATTAGGTTCGTCTAACTCGACAGACCTGCCATGTGGAGTGGGGCGTCATGAGAGGAGAGCTGTCCATGTGTGAAGTATGTCCTGGGACACTGAACCTCCAGGCACCCTGATCTTGGGCTTTCCAGTGTACAGACCATGAGAAACAAATTTCTATACATTAAGACACTCAAGCTGCACTTTGTTGTAGCAGCCCCAATGCAGTAAAATTTCAATGTCAGGGAAGAGCATCCCAATCTCCCTGGAAACCAGTAAAAAACCATATTCCTTTCTGTTTCATTCTCTTAATCTGTATGGTGTGGTTTCTCCAAGCCACACAAAGACTGCAGACTCCAGCGTGGCACATGAGTAAAAGGGAACGGCATAGATCTGAGTTCCAGAATCCTGGGAGGCATATGAGTGACGAAGCTTGGGTGAGAAGGGCATTCTCTTTTCAACTGACTCCAAGTAGGGGAAATTGTAATGGTAATGGAAATACAAGTTCTGGGCACCATCTTAGATCACTCTGGCCAAATGAATGACTGTATATGTTCTGAAGAAGCATCAAGTGTTTTACTGGAATGATTGTATAAAAACCTTATAAAACTCTACAGAAAGAATTATGTTATAGTAAAAGCATGAATGTGCTTCTGAGAACTTGAAGCCTACCTGACGCTGGACTTTGATGAAAACAAGGAAACACTTATAGTGAGTAGCCATTGAGAAGCTGAGGTTGTTTCCACAGTTCACTTCACTAATATGGCATTTTAATCAATGGGAATACAGAAACATCTTATTCCAAAATACAAACCTTCAGTAAATAGTCTACAGAGTACTGAATGAAGTCCTTCAGGCGGCATTTTAAGAGAACAGGGATCTGGCTCAGTAGTATAGCACTAGCCTAGCATGTGCAAGGTTCTGGATTCAATGCCCAGCATGGAAAAAAAGAGGAAAGAAAGTGTACAAGGTCCTCCATTACTGGTCCCATGCACTTTACAAAGTCTCACTGACTTGCCTAAATGTTTCTAGAATGCTTGGACTGGTTTGGGCTTATTTTCCTCCCTCACAGTACTACTGATCACAATGCACTAGTTGGTGATTCACCAGTCTCTTTTACTAGTTGTCAATCTCCTCAAAGGTGGTTGTTTTTTCTCCTCTGTAGATGTATCTCTAACACTTAATATTATTATGTATTGGGCAAATCAAAGATGATCAGTGAGTATTGCTAAATGAATGATATACAGTACTCCGAAATTCTTATAGGCCCCTGGAAAGAAAATCATAAAAATTTAAAGCCTGGAAAGTACGAAAAAAGCTATTCTTATTTTTTTAGAACATAATCCCTTCAGAAATAAATTTTCATTCCCTCAATATTCACCTAGCTGACCTATTACTGACAATATTCTTGAAATGAAACCAAGGGCCATTAGTTAAATAATACCCTTTTGGACCAGAATTCATTTCTAAATCAAGATTCTTTATGGGGCCGGGCATGGTGGCGCACACCTGTAATCCTAGCATCCGGGAGGCTGAAGCAGGAGGATCGTTGTGAGTTTGAGGCCAGCCTGGGCTAAATAATGAGTTCCAGGTCAGTCTCAACTATATAGTGAGACCCTGTCTCAAAAAAACAAAAACAAAAACAAAAAAACCCCAAAAGATTCTTTATGCGTTTTTAAAACTTTTAAAAAATTGATCCCCTAAAGTCAGAATTGAAAATATTTTTCAGGAATTCATGGTGAAATTATTCTCAGGTATTTTTAAGTGGTTGTGGATTATGAATTACTTCAGATAAGAAGCAGCCCTGAAATGTAAAAATCACTACTATAAAGTTGCCAGGCACCATGGTACATGCCTATAAACCCAGCTACTCAGGAGAAGTTAAAAGAATCACTGTCAGCACTGTGTAACACAGGAATCTCCATCTCAAAAACAAACAAAAATCACTACTTTAATTTAAAATGCCCCAGTTGTGAGGGACACATTTTCAGAAAAAAACAAAACAGTATTTTACGCTCCTTGGAAACTTTAGGGTTTATTCATAGCCTTTCTATTCACCAAAAACAAAACAAAATAAAACAAAGCCACAGCATTTTATCTTAAATAGCATCATTTCGAGTTGAGCCTTAAATGTTACTCTAGTAGTATTTACAAAGAATATGGTTTAGGTATTAATGGCCTATTTTTATTAAAAAAAAAAAAAAAAGTCTGGGCCAGGGATTTAGCTCAGTGGCACTACACCTGCCTCGCAAGTCCAAGGTCCTGAGTTTGATCACCAGCACCAAAAAAAAAAAAAAAGTCTATGACCTTAACGATTATATATAAAGAACTGCATTACAAAAACAAATAGTTTCTTTATGTGAATTATCTTAAGATATGAAAACCATTATTATAGCTTTATTATAGGGGAAAAACAACACACAGTCTAGTCAAACAACTTTGTGATATTTATATTCTATTGCAGATATAGGTTATACAAATTAGTAACACAAAGCATTTCTTGAATTCCAAACATTTTCTAAAATATTATTACAGCAAATGCTTAGGATATTAAAAACATCAAAGTGGAAATCATACTCTAAATAGATAAATGCAACAATGAAAATACTGCACATTTTAATTAAAGGAAAACCTGTGCTTAAATGCTCTAAACTAGGTAGCAGGGCAACTAACACTACAAATAAGTCACTGTGGTCCATTTTAATGTATGCATATATATGATTATTCTTTATATAATCCCTCCTCTTGAAAATGCATAATTAAAACATACAAATCCAGATAAATGACAAAGAAATTTTAATTTTTTCTAATACTTAAGATCTATGGCAAAGTGTACTATTATCTATGACTTCATATACTAATTCAAATATAAAAGACACCACACTTAGAAAGAAGGAAATACTTTTTAAAGATAATGGTTTTAATTGAATTAATGAGATGAAAAGATAGTGAGGCCCTGTTTGCTACTTACATGAAAGAAGATTAAAAAAAATAATCACTGCACAAAACACAAAGGGTGGGGTTATGCTGTGGCATTAAATTTTTCTCCATGTTTTTCTTGACTGTTCAAGAGCAAATTAAAGTTTCCACAGCAAATTTGTTTTCAAAATGCCGAATTGTGACACAATTGCTGGCTTCACGTTTCTGAATACCTGTTTGGCAGGAAAAAGGGTTAATTTTTGGTGCTACTGTAACAAATATTCACATTAATCCTTACTTATTTTTCATATATATATGTTAAGTATTTCACACTACACTCCATAAACAAAGTGTTTTAATTTTTTACACTGGAGAAAATATTTTTTCTTTTTCTGAACTATGTATGTTCAGATCACAATAATAATGCCTTACATATTGCTTACAAATTTATAAACCTGAAGGTAATGGAAATGTCCTCTTTCTAGACTATGGCGTTGTATGACCATAAGTAAATTTTGTATAATGCAAATCTGTACACTAATTAGGGCGAATTTCATTGTAGATATCAATCTGAGTTTAAACAAATTATGAACTAAGTTAATTTTAAGTCTAAAAAAGCAAGCTGTAGATTTTGGATAACTCATCAGCCCAAAGTGAAAGGACAATATTTTTTAAAACTATTGAAAAGCCAGGAAAGCACTTTCATTGGGTGATATGATCACAGAGAAATCACACTACAGTGTATTTAAATGATACTTCTACAGTTGTCAAATATACTCTCATTTTATTTTTACAAAGGAAAGGAAATAGGATATATTGTTATCATTTTTTTAGGCGCAGAAACAAAGGTTAAGTGATGACTTTATAAAGCTAAAAATTAGTTGTGTAATGTTTTTTATTCCTTACTCAAATTCCTTTCTTATTAACCTAAATGTTTATCCTCAATGTGATTCAAAAGGCAAAGAGCTTGATTAGAATTCAGATTTCAAGGGCCAGGGCTTTAGCTCAGTGGCACCTCGCCTGCCTCACAAGTACAAGGTCATGAGTTCAATCCCCGGTACCACACACACTCAAAAAGAATCCAGACGTCAGTATACAAGTGAAGAGCTAGTCAAGAGACCTGGAAAATAAAGACTCCACACTTAGTACTGCTGAGCTACAATGGTGATGGAAAATCAGAATGCATGGCTCGCTATGTACAGTACCAGCATCTCATTTCACCCTGGCCTCTCACTATCAGAAAAGAGCAGATTTAAAACTCAAATGATTCACTGAAACCTCATGACAAGTATAGATATATATACAATGACTAGGCTTTGTCTAAATTATGTAACACAAAATGGCACAATAAACTTTTCTGCCAGTGTTAATATTAAAATGTATTACCTTTAATAGTTTCTCTGCGTTGCAATTTATAAGTTTCCTTGTCATGACACAGTCGATAAATAAAGAAACCCAGGTGATCAATGTTTTCAATTCGATCAGTAATAACCATATGTTCATGAATCAGGTATGACTGAGGCAAATAGGTTCCAGCCTACATTTAGAAAAGAAATTTGAGTATCTCAAAATATACACTGAACAAACTAGAAACACAGACTAAAATTCTTAGATACTACATTAGTGAACAGAGACCAAACTACCATCTATTCTATGCAACTTTTTTTTTTAAAAAAGACAGAGTCTCACCATCTTTCCTAGTCTGGCTGTTAGCTCCTAAGCTCAAGTAATCTTCCTGCCTCAGACTCCTGAGTAGCTGGAACTACAGGCACAATATAGCTATGCCTATTTATTTACATATTGTCTATGGCATTAGAATAAAGCAGCTGGCCAATATTTACTCTCCAGTCTTTTAGGAAAACAAACATAATGTAACAAATATTTTAATTTCAAAATAAAAAACATTTGTCGGGCGTGGTGGTGCACACCTGTAATCCCAGCATGTGGGAGGCTGAGGCAGGAGGATCTCTGGGAGTTTGAGGCCAGCCTGGGCTACATAGTGAGTTCCAGGTCAGACTCAACTACATAGTGAGACCCTGTCTCAAAAAACCAAAAAAAAAAAAAAAAAATTTTTTTTAAAGATTCTAAGTCTTAGTTCTTTTTTTTTTTTTTTGCAAAATTCTTGGCTATATTGTTAAGATGTGTTCCAGCACAGCTACTTTCTCAACAAGGGAATTTCCAGACACTAACAGCACCATTAATCAAAAACAGTACTGCTGGGCGTGGTGGCACAACACCTGTAATCCCAGCATTCAGGAGGCTGAGGCAGGAGGATCAGCTGTGAGTTCAAGACCAGCCTGGGCTACACAGTGAGTTCTAGGTCAGTCTCAAGTACATAGTGAGACCCTGTCTCAAAAAAACAAAAGAAAAAAAAAAAGTACTAATTTGATACCTTGATGTTAATGAGTAATTCCAACAAGTTTCTGGGAGGCATAACAATGGAAGTATTCAGAGGGATCACGTAGCATTTATCCAGGTTAAGATCTAAATAGGCAGTGAGTTTCTGGCAAAGAAAAGAAGACATTTTAGTTATATTAGTATCTTTAACAGAGGCAGCAACTAAATTTTAAATAATTGGTATCATTAAAACAGGCTGGCTTTAGAATGCATAAATCATCTGCATTTCAAAAAATCAGGAATCTGTGATCTCCATAGAGTACAGGTCCTCAAAGTATTGACAGTACTCTGGATTTCTGCTGGATCTGTTGTAACTTCACCATTCTCATTCCTAAATGCATGAATTTGAGCCTTTTCTTTCCTTTTCTGGATAAGGTTGGTTACGGGTTTATCGATTTTATTTATTCTTTCAAAAAACTCAACTCTTCGATCTGTTGATTTTTTGTATTCTTCTCTTCATCTCCATTCCATTGATTTCTGCTCTGATCTTTATAATTTCCTCCCTTGTATGAGCTTTGGGTTTCACTGCCCATCTACTGGAGACTGGATAAAGATGTGTATGTGTGTGTGTTTTCTATAATGGAGTACTACTCAGACATAAAGAATGAGAAACTCAAAATATGTGCAGCTAAGTGGATGCACACTCAGGCCATACTCTTAAGTGAAATTAATAAGTCACATAGGTGTAAATACTGAATAGTTTCTCTGATGTGAAAAACCAGGAGTGTAAATAAGGATCAAAATGTATAACTGATATTGTGTAATAGGAAGAAAAGGTTTAAAAGAGTAGAGGAAGTGGGAGGGGTAGGGAAAGGTAAAAAGGGAAAAGAAAAAATATATGAAATGGAAAAACATGGAAATAATGTCTTTATAAACAGGGAAGGGTGGAGTGGGTGAAGGAAGGATAGAGGAATGGGAAAAAATAAGAACCAAAGTAAGTCATGTAAAATACAAGATCCCAATGATGAATGAAACTGAACTGTATACCTAAAATGTACCAATAAACTTGATAAAAGATTTATAAAAATCAGGAATCTGGAGAATAGGCACAGACAAAGGAATGAGGATGAAAAAACAATTGTTAGTAAATACAATCCTTGTCAGGAATTTTTGTAAGTAATAGTAATACTTATTAAGATTAACTATAAATACCTGTTATCTGATGTATTTATTAGTTCCCTCACTTATAATCCCAAATACTCCTCCACAAAGTATCTACACTTTTTTTTTTGGTACTGGGGATCTAACTCTGGTCCTTGTGTTTGCCAGGCAGGTGGCGGAAACATTAAGCTAAATCCCCAGCCCTATACATTGTTAATGCAAACAATATTTTCTCTCCTATAAATCTGAATTAATACCATCCTTAGAAAACTAGAAAAGTCTTAAATAATTTGTCTTCTGTAGTTTAGATGAAAATTCCAGCTGAGGAAGACATCTCCAGCTGAGGAAGATAGTTTCAAGAATTGAGTTAAACTAAGACATGTAACCACTTATGAGATTCCCAAGAGCTCAGTAAGTATTACTATTTACTATTTGCTTAGGATAAAGCTTATTACCTTTAAGCAGTTTTTTAAACTGGTTTATAAATATATATATCACACATAAAAGGCCCATTTCCAAAGCTAAATTCAGTGAGTGTTCAAAATAGCAAGCTTATACAATGACATAAGAATGAAAGGCAAGAGAACTTTTAAATCTCTGGATCTTGGTTTGAAAAAACAAGCTCTTGGGAAAAAAAAATTGGAGAAATTTAAATATAAACTAGATATTAAATAATACTGTATTTCTTTAAGTGTGACAATCATCTGGTAACGTGGGAGATCATCCTCATACTTAAGAGCTAACAAGTATTTAGGGGTAAATGTGGCAAATGACAGAAAAAGAGATGAAGCAGGTATGGAAAAAGTTGTAAGCCAGGAGGAATATTTGGTTATGACTTCAACTCCTCTAGGCTGCATAAAATTTGAAAAGCTAGGGGAAAATGCAGAATGAGAACTTATAAACAGATTAACAAATTATTAACTTCTGAAAATGCTACAAAGAAATGGAAACACAAATGAGCTTTTACTAGGGCAATGTGAAAGTAAGAAATAATAACTTGCTAGTAAAGGAAGACAAAGTCATGAAAGGCTTTCAGAATAGGTGAGGCCAAGGGATCAAAGAAAGGAAGGAAGATGTGAGAAAAGGGTATGTTTCAGATAAAGCAGAGCCACCAAACACTGATAGCTTATCTCGTAATGCAGAGAAACCCAAGCCCGTTATTTAAGAAAAAACTAAAACCTAAATAGAATAATTGAGTACTAAATTAAAAATCACAAAAATATATAAATTCAAAACCTCTATTTTATACCTGTAATTATATTTTTTACAATGTTGGACAATTGGCCCACCTTGTTAAAGTCATGAACAATGTTTGCAGGATCACTATCTGCAAATTCTGGGACAGGCACACTGATGAATTCAACCTCATCTTCTTTAAAGATCTTAATATTTTCTTCAATTGTCTGGTAGCGAGCAGCTGGGACATCTGCAGAAGGCTCATTTAAGATGACATCATCTTTGATGTACTTTATTCCACAGTAGTACACATCATCTGGCTGTAGAGATTTAAAGACTCATTTCAGCAATGCAGTGTGAGACAAGTTTTTAAATGTAAGCATTACTTAAGCTGCCACCTCTATCCAAATAGCATTTTGCTTGCAAACTCTTACTTTTAGATGACAAGTCAGACAGTTTAATTACAGAGTTAGCACATTCTTTAAGATCAGGTTTTGAAGTATTATAAAAAATGACTTTGGAAGGAGAAAAGTAGCTGATTTTCCCTTTTCTTTTTGTGGTAGATAAAAACAGAGTATAAAAGCAATTATCTACCTGGTGACAAGTATATTTGAACAAACACACAGGCCTACTTTACCAGTAGGTATTGTTTTTCACAAAAGAATATATTCAGAGAAAAGTAGTATCTTTAAGAAAAAACAAACTTTCAAAATTTTGACAAAGTTAACTTATGAAATGATCCTCGCCCCTCTTTGGGATATAGCTCAGTGGCAGAACACGTGCCTCACATCATCCGCACGCATGAAGCCCTGAGTCTAATCCATAGTACTCCCACCCCTCAAATAACTTTCCCCTTTATCAGCCCAAAAGAGGAAAAGAATAACTTTTCTGAAATTTTCATATGCATAGAGGTAAGTCTGATCTTTTCGTAAAACTTTATCACAGTCAAATGGAAAATAAAGTATACATATAAACAAAAGATTGGGAACTGTATAATAAATATTTTGGCACCAAATCTTACTTCTAGACAGTGGAATCATGAATTTTTTTTTCTGTATTGTATATATGTCGCATAAAATATAAAAGGTGATCAATATTTCAATAATGTTTATTTGTTGACAAGCCATTATCTTGAATAATATAGAAAATGAATTTATAAAATTTATATATCCTCTGGCAGAATATTTCAAATTACTTAATTTTTAAAAAGGCTTCTAGTTGTCAACTGTTTTTCCAAATTTCAAGTTTAAAACAAGTGAACTAGTTATAAAAGCTCAAAGTAAATTTCCCTTCAAGATTCCTTAAGAGGAATACTGAGTTACTGCCAAGAGAAATATCACACAGCAGATATCACAGACCATAATCAGAAGAAAAATCTGTTTTAACCAAATGCTTTAACACTGTAAATTATAAGCAACTTTCACCCTAAGTTATTTCAACATCACTGCTGAAGTCACCCAACTCTTTAGAGAAACCAATGACTAGCAAGCAGCAGAGAGATGTGGTACCATGTTCTCTGGACCCAAGGGCAAAGGGTATTATGAGAGTGGCTAGAATTGGCTATTAAATAGTTATATCAACATTACAATGTTTATGGCAAATGTATTTATTCAAATGGCAATTCACATTACTATACACTTTAGCCATTAATTATGATAGGCGAATGAAGGTTAGCTGATTGGGGGGTCACCCAATAATCTAAACCCTTTTGTCAGCCACATCTCAAAATACTATTATTCTGCTTTTAAAGACTGAGTATCTATTTTACGCGTGGCAAACACGATCAGATTTTTAAACACAGCTTTAAATCAGGACCACTCTTCTGCTTAAAGACCACAGAAAAGCACAAGCTTGGAACAAATTAGGGAAAATTTTCTAAAACATCTGATAGAAAGGCAAAAAAAGAGAGACAAAGACAAAGACAAAATATATGGTGGCAAGCAGGTCTATAATCACAGCACTCTGAGGCTGAGGAAGAGGATAAACAAGTCTGAGCCCAACCTCAGCAACTTAGTGAGATCTTGTCTCATTTAGGAAAAAAAGATACTTACTTGAAGTGCAAAATATTTGTATAGGTATGCTCCTCCTAGAATGACTCCTGCAAGCATAAATGCTAGTCCAAAGCACATGCACCAACACCAGGCTCTTCTTTGGCCAACTGGTACCACATCATCGGGGTCCTAAAATATGAAAAAAAGACAATTGATATGTATTTTGAAGGAGAAGGCTCAGGATCAGAAATACTTTAAGGATTTTTATTAAAAGAAGTGATGATATAAACACCAAAGGAGTTAAGGCCCTATCAAAATCGACCCATGAGCAATTTAATGGTGGTACCAGGACTCACCCCAGTGCTTCTTTGGCTGGGAGACATTGGGCCCCAAGGAGAATTCTGACTACTTCTAATTCTCAACACCCTACCTACTAACCATATCTAAAGCAATGATCCAATCCATAATTTCTATTTCCATGCACAACTTTTGGTGATCTCCTAACATTGAGACATTCAAATAAAGTTACAATACAACTTTGTCATACAGTATTATGATACTGAGATTCATGTATGAAAGATCCAGGACATCTCTTTATCATATCATCATAAAACTGCACTAGCCTGTTACAAGTATTTCATATTTTATACCAGATAAAAGCGATTCCTAACAAGCCACAAGAAAAACCAAAAGGAAAAAAAGGACAGAACAAATAATATGACAATAAAATTCTTCAATTAGATTTTTAAAGAAAAGGACAAAGTTGTTTATAATCTCACTGCCCTACCCTAAATCCCAGTCTGGTAAAGTACTTTTTTAAAATAGAAGCATTAGAAAAAAACATGATTTATTAATTAAAAAATGAACTGAATAATAAAGAGTAAAATCCAACATGGAGCAGCTTCAGGGAAAAAGTATACTTAATCCTATATAGGTGCTAGAAAAACTGTATGAATGATGCACAAAAAATCAGGGTGGGTTCAGGCAAAAGAAAACAGACTGGCTGAAATGAGAATTCACTTAGGAATAAAAGCCAAAGTTGTTAGGAATAAAAGCTAAAGTTGTATGTTTTCATTCTAAAATGAAGAATTTCATTTTGCTACTACTGAAAAAAGTCAAATCCCAGATGTTGTGGCAACCAAGAACAATAAATGTTAGGTAATACACTCCTGGGTTGAGGTTCTACCTTTAAGCACAGAACTTAACACAGAACAATACTGCTTAATCTAAGGATCAGATCAAATGCTGTGAAAGCATTACACTTGGCTGTAGTACTTGTCCATATATTGTGTATGCATACTTAAGGCATTGCAAGGACATTGTATGTAATGAGAACAAGGTTAAAAGAATTTATCAAGCCATTTAAGACATCCCAGTTGTGAAAAGATACAAGAATTCCATGGAGTCATGTAGTACTATGAAACATGAACATTAAAGTATACATGTTTTGCTTGAGTCTGACATAAATACTGAAGCACATAAATTTTTTCTAACGTAATTAATTTCAGGGTGGAGGCAGGGGTGGAAATGACAGATGGAAAGTCATTTCCAATATCTGATATCAGCTTCTGAGACAGACAAATATGTACACACACCCATCCTATGTGGCAGTATCTCTCTAATAGTATATACATGAATAGTCAAAGACCACAGGCAGATACAGTAGCTATCAAATAATAAGATGGAGCCTCAACTGCCAAACTGATGACAAGTTTTCAGGCTTTTTAATAAATCATTTTAAACTGCTCAACAAAAAAAAAACCTTTTGAGAAATTATAAATGTCTGCTATATGCCAAGAGTTGTGCTATGCACTGAATACAGCCTCTGCCCAGAAAAATATTGGCTGGATCACCAGTCTAGGAAATAGGTATGATATGGGCTCTAACAGGAAAATACGAACACAGCGTATCAGAGACAGTTTTGGTGAAGACTTCTCAGGGGAAAAAACACTTGAATGGAATGCTAAAGGATAAATACTCTTACCCAGGTAGAATTAAAGGAAATTATGTGTAAGGCAAAGAACAAAATCATGCAGCCAGAATGCAAGACATTCCCAAGGGCCACATGCATGATGGCTGGAGTACTCCATGTGGTGGGCAAGGACACAAAAGATGAAGATGAGATTTAATTAGGGCAGACCACAAAGGGCCTCTGTAGAATGTGGTATGGAGTTCAAGTCTCATGTTATTCAATCATTTTTCAGGATTACAATAAATAAAAAAGCATCAATTTCTTGAACATCTAGCTTATACAATACTTCACTTATCCACAAGTCATTTATTCAGCACCTCAACAATGTGAAACATGGCTTACAAACAAGGAAATAAGAATCTCTGAACAGCCAAATTATGGATCCAAAGTCTACGTGCCACAGTCAAGAAACTGACTAGATATCAAGTCTTTCAAGTCTATTTACTCTTTTCCCCATTCAAATTCCTAGAGATCATTTTTGCCTTGTATTAGAATAATCCACACATAGTACTCATCTCTTCCTAACAGGCTATAAGGTCTTTGTGAGTATTCATTCATATTCATTTTGCATTACTGGGAGCTCTATGTCAAGCTTGGCACTTAAATGGGATGCAAATATTTGAAGAGCAAATAAAATGTAGACACTTTAAAATAAAGCACAGCTATTTAATCTTTTATGATTCACAAAATTTACATCAGTAGCCAGCAACATAGTGGGGGTATAACACAATAATTCATGGTGCACAATAAGCTTGCTATTTAGCAAGAACAGTAGCCCTACTTAGCGTCGCTCAACATTTATTAAGAGACTGTGCTAGATCCTATGGGAAATTCAAATGTGTTTAGACATGGTTCATCTGAACAGCTAACACTATCTATGCCAAATAAATTTTATCCCATATTGCAATTTGAATCTTGGAAAAGAAATTAAAGTACATTCTAGATTTGTAAGCTTTTAATTAGAAGTTTTCAAAAAATTATTAAATTTTAATACTTGAAATAACCTTTAGTTGAAGAAATGCCCCACAATCTTCTCAATAGAAAACGTATTTGACAATAATTCAACTCCCACTTCTAATGTCTTTGCAAAGTAGAAAGAGGTGAAATTCTTAACAAATGAAGTAAATGATTAAAATTAAAATTCTAAAGCGAATCCCATATTTATAGTGAAATTTTAGATGCATATCCCCTTTCAAGTCAGGAGCTCAAGGATGTCCATTAAAACTGATTCTTTGTTTCCATTCAATTCTCTACTAGAGATTCTAGCAAAGAAGAGTACAAGATTAGAAAAAGATTTAACTGATCTATACAGAAAAACCTAATAGAATTAATCAAACTGTTAAGAACTTATCAAGATTGCTAAAGATCAAATTTTGAATAATCAACCAAATCAAAGATTTGTACATTACTAATTCATGGCATCATTAGAACAGTCCTAAACTTAAAACTCCAATATCCACCAACTGATACATGGACAAACTGTGATATATTTATACCATGAAATAGCAATAAGAAAGCAGAAAATTAACATGCCCTATCATGGCTAGATCTCAAAATCATCCTAAGTGAAAGAAGTTCAAAAGAGATTCCATTATGGAATTTTAGAAAAGGCAAACCTTGATGACAAGCAGTTTTTTGGCTATCACTGGAAAGTATTGAGAAGGGGGAGAACTGACTGTGAGGGGGTAAAAAGAAACATTTGAGGGTGATAGAAATGTCTCCTATCATGACCTTTACAGTGGACACACAACTCTGTACAATTACATGAATTCAGTAAAAACTATACACTCAAAACTGATGTTTTATTACATGTAAATTTCAACAACAGCAGGAAAGCAATCGACTGAGTTCCTACACACCATGCAATAAAAGCAAAGTCTAAGAATAACAAGTCCTGAGGAAAGGGTTGAACCAAGGGAACCTAGGAACTTTTTCACACAGTTGACAGGAGACGGCACCATTTCTTTGGAGAACAACTGGCAGAAACTAATAAAAATACACATATCTTATGACCAAACAATTTCAAATCTGGGGCTAAAATTCCCATTGTACTTGTGCATAACGAAGTATGCTTAATAATGTTCAGCGTACAATTACCAATAAGAAAAAATAAAAAATAATCTAATTGTCCATCAAGAGCAGAATAAAGTATTAGTCTATGGATTCTCTAAATTTTTGTATGTTTAGACTATTTCATGATTAAAGAAAAGAAAAAGAAAAAATATTAATAATCAGGAGCTTCTTCACTAGGGTATGTAATTTTACCTGGCCTACTTTAAAAGTCACAAACATTTCCTCCCCCTTTGTGCTACAATAAAACTGGTGCAGCACCTTAAACTGTGCTGGTAAATTGTAAGGTAACAGAACTCCCTTAAGTGCTGTACAATTATCATCTCATTAATCTTCCTGAAACACCAAGATTTTAGCCCAATTTACAAATGAAGTCAGTGAAGCACAGAATGGCCTATAACTACCCCCTCAAAAGCAGTTACAGAAAGACACAGCTTTCAGAAGCATTCTCATTTTCCCACCATACTAATTTCTGGTTCAAATAAATTTTATCAGACAATAAAGAAAAATACTTAAACTATATCTTAATCAAAATGCAGGATAAATTGTGTTCTGTGACTTCAGTTAAATAAGAATTAGGTCACCTCAATCAGTTCCCTAAGAGATTTTAGTAAAAGTGTTTCAATTATGAAATAAAATGTGAGTTTTTTCCCATATACTTTTTATTCTGTTCTTAAAACTAAGAAAATACATCCTTAGCTACTCTATTTTAATATGATGAATGAAGCTTAAGAGATTATTTTTCAAAGCCCTCAGATATGCAATTTTTCATTATTATAGAAAATGCAACAGAAATGCTTTAGAAACCAGAATACTAAAAAGGAAAATCTCTTTTTGGGTTAAAAATGTACAGTATGAAAAAGAAAGAGAATGCAATGGCATAAAAACACTTTAAGTGTAAACATAAGACTAAAAAAAGTAGGGGAGAACCACTATAATGTATTCTGAATATCATGAGTTGCTACATTTGTAGATTTACTCAGAAATGTGTACATTTTAATACATACTGAGATAACATAGGTAAATACAACTGTACACAGGCAAGCTGCCTGGTGTTTTGTTAGACTGTATAACGTTTTCCAACCTAGAATATTAACTGCTCATATTTGAAAAATCTGATTCACATTTAAAAAAATAGATTTCTCAT